AAGGTAGGACAGTGAGGATGAGAGAGAAAGGGATCCAGACTTGTTCTCAGCTCCAACTGAAAGGAGTCAGACTACTAAGGAACAAAGGGGACCAGGCTGGTGGGCTGGGACATGGCTGAGTGGTAGTGTGCTTGTCCAGTGTGCATGGGGCCCTGGGTTCCATCACCAGCACTGCAAAATAAGGGGTGGAGTGAAGGCTGGCCCTGCCTTCCCACTCCACCCCTACTCAGCCTCCCCAAACTCTTGAAGAGGAAGGCATGGGGGGGGGGGGCAGGCAGGAAGAGGTGGGGGAGGGGTAATGAGACTCACAGGCAACTCCTCACTCCTCCTTTCTGGTCCCCGGTTCCCCTCCTGCAATGTGGAAAGGGAGCAGGTATTCTGTGCTCTAGACCTCTGGGAGGGCTGGGTGCCTATGGCCAGATGTCAGTCTTCCTGAGTCCCAGCGGAGGCCTTTGGTCCAGCAGGCCTATTCAGGACTCCTGTCCCTGGGGACAGACCTCCAGCCAAGCTGCATGGTCAGTTATCAAAGCCCATTGCCTGCCAATGGGCACAGGGGAGATAACTAGGGAGAGAGTAATGCTTTCTAAGGCATTCACATATCACTAGACACCTACTATGTGCCAAGCCTTGGGGCTATACAAAAATGACATTCCCCCCATGCTTAAGTGACTCCGATGCAGTTAGCCCTCTGAGACCCACTCTACAGCTGAGAATACCCAGGACTGGAGAGTCTAAGAGAACCATCCAAGTATGACTAACAGATCTTTGACTAGATCCCATGTATTTCTGTCTCTGAAACCCATGTAAGATAGGCGAGCCATGGAAGGGAAGGCGATGGGGAATAAGAAGCAAGAAAAGAAACCCAACAGAAAGAAGGTATCAGTGGACAGGCCAGTTCCAGCTAGAGCTCAAGGTCACAGACTGGTTATCAGAGTGGACAGGGGTCCAGATCTGCAACACTACTCATGCAGGCTACTTCTTCAGCTACTGACTTATCTATAGTGTCTTTCCTGGAGCTTCTTCCCAGCAACAACCTTCCCCTCCCAACAAAACAGGCCACGCAAGCTTTCATCGGACAGGCCAGGGCTGGAAGACCCCAAGAAGTACACTGTGACTCCCCCCTACCCCTGCCTCCTTGTTCCTCCTCCCTATCTCAAGTAGGTCAAGCCATCCCCACTTCCCAGCTCCCTCCTTACCCTCCAAGAACAGTCTTACTATCTGTTAGTTGTCTCCACGGTAACAACAGAGGGCTGGCCCTGGGAGAGGAGGCTTCTGGGAAATATAGTTTCCTGCAATTGCCCTGGTTTCAGCTTCCCAACCAGGGATGTCAGAGCAAGAGCTTATAAAGCTCAAGGTGGATTATTAACACCACAGGAATTGGAAAAGGCTACAGACCAAGGCTCCTCTTGGGAAGCAAACATTTAAGCACTGTCAAGCTACTTTTGTCCTGGCACAGGAGAGGTAGCCTTCACCAAGACATCTGGAAGCCCCTGTAGGGTCTAGGGAGGCAGGCTGCCTGACTGAGTCTGTACTTTAGGCTAACCTGGGCCTCTTAGTGTAGCAGATAATCCATGGTCTAGGAGACATCCTGATGGGTGCAGAAACCGATCTGTTAGAATAGCAGCCCAGTTTCTTCTAAACATCTAAAGAGAAGCTGAGCATGTTGCTCAAATGTAGAACACTTACCTCAGCAATGGAGGGCCATGGATTTGCTCTGCAGCAACACACACACACACACACACACACACTTGCACAGCACTGACACTGCCATACTTGAACTCACTGTATTACTTTTCTATTGCTCTTGCAAAATACCACAAACACGCCAACTCATAGAAGCGTTTATTTGGGGTTTAGAGTTTCAGAGGGTTAGAGAGCCCCAAGCACTGATGAGGGTGCAGGGGCTGTTTCCTGAGACACAAAATGACAAGACAGTTTTCTAAAACATCTTAAAACTTGTTTTGTAGGCAGCTAAATTCCTTAAACTCTCATCTACCCCCTCCTTGCAGGCACGCTTGGCAGAACATCACCACGAGATGTGTGACCCGTCGTCTCTGTCTGGGCTGTGTTGTGATGACATGTCGGGGGCTGCATATTTAGCTCACAATTCTGGAAGTTTGCAGGCTGACCATCTGTGGGCAGAGTCCTGAGATGGCAAAGATAATCACATTGCAAGAGACAGGGAACATGTGTGTGTCCAAGAATATGGAGGTCAGAGGACAACCTGGTGTGTTGGGCCTCATCTGCCACCCTGTTGGAGGCAGGGCCTCCTTGTTTGCCTCTGCACTGTGCTGTGTACAGTAGTTTGCTGGCTCATGAGCTCCTCCATGGGAAGGGAAGATAGAAGGGTTCAGAGTTAAAGGTCAGCTTGAGCTGCATGGGCCCCCATCTCAAACAAAACAGAACCGATAATAATAATAATAAAAAGAAAACTTAATTTAGAGAGCCAGAGAGATGGCTCATTAGTTAAGAGCTCTTATTGTTTGTGATGCACAAGGACCAGTTAACTCCAGTTCCTGGGGAGCCTGCACCCTCTTCTGTCCTCCTGCATACACTTGGACGTATGCAGAAAAAGCAAATACATATTTTTAAAAAATGTATCTATTTAAATCAGTGAAGATATGGAGATTAGAGAAAAGGTGACTGAAACAAACTGTCCACCAGGGTAAGAGATTTGTTAACACCCCAGATAGCATGCAGCTGGTTTCTGAAAGGAATCCCTGCCCCCAGACAAAGGGGACTGCCCCACTCTCAGAGGTTCCTGAGGGAGCCTGGTCCCACATCATATGCTGAATGTGTTAGCCATATGCCAGGTTACCTCTGGTTCCTAGGTTGCAAGGGGAGGGGAACAGATTTGATCCTTTATTTTCATTTTATTACTTCTTTAATACATTCATTTACTGAGGGGTGGGAGGCACATGTTTGAGGTCAGAGAACGATTTGTAGGAGTCAATCCTCTCCTTCCACCATGTGGATGGTCTGGATGCTGGAGCATTCCTAGAGCTAAACCTGGGGGGGGGGGGGAGGGAGCATGGTATGATCTATGCGATGCCAGACCCCAATCTCAGGAAAATCAGCACAAATAGTAATTTGGATTGCTATGTTAATTTGGGAAAAATTTCATATCTTTGAATGTTAAGTTACTTAATGAGAGCAGAGAGCAAATAAATGCGCCTGTTTCCACATGTTTATTATAGTGTAATAAACTTTAAAAGTGAAGCACTCAGGCATTCCATATGCTCTTGAATGTTGGGATTACATACATGTGCTTTCCTGACTCCAGGAATGGTCCTGGGATGAGCTGGCACCCCAGAAGGTGCCACCCTGGCTTCACCCAAGCCTGTGGAGGGGCTTTGAGTGGACAGGCTGCCATCCTCTCCCATTCCATTTCCACATCCTGGCATTAGTCAGTCATCCTTTTTTTTTTTTTTTTGGTTTTTCAAGACAGGGTTTCTCTGTGTAGCTCAGACTGTCCTGGAACTGGCTTTGTAGACCAAGCTGGCCTCAAACTCACTGAGATCCACCTGCCTCTGCCTCCTGAATGCTGGGATTAAAGACGTGTACCACCAACACCCTGTGACCAGTCAGTCATTCTTTAAGTGCAGTGGAGGAGGGGAGGGAGGGTTACTAGGAATCAGGACTAGCAATTTATTTCCCCCACATCCTTTAATCCTCTCAGGACAGGGTGGGAACACTATAATACCTATTTTAGGCCAAGAATCTGGAAATGGCTGGATGTTTTAGCAGGACAAAATTGATGAAGGCCAAGAGATTCCTGGAGAGCTGATTCTCTTCAGTCTACATTGGATTCCCAAAGAAATTGGTTCTAGCATCAGCTAAAACATGCTGCAGCAAGACAGATGAATTTGCTAGGGAGAGTGAGAGCAAGCAGGCAAAAAGCCAACTTTCTTTCCTCCTTCTCTTTTTTTTTCTGGAACCAGAAAGTGCCACTCACTTAAGGTAAGCTCCCCGCTTCAATTAATCTGACCTAGAACTCCCTTACAGGTTAATTTTAGTTGATTGCAGGTGCAGTTAACAGTAAAGAATAGCCCTGCCCCCGCACCTCTATTACTTTCTTTGCTTTTTGAGGCAAAGTCTCACTATGCATTCTAAGCTAGCCTTGAACTTACGATGATCCCACCGTTGCCTCCTTAGTGCTGGGATTACAGGGGTAACCTACCATATCTGGCTCTGTTATATCTGTGCTTTTTGCTGCTCTTAGAGGCTGGAGAAATAGGAGGAATTAAGGGATGTGGGAGGGAAAGAGCCCTCACCTTGTTGTATGATTGAAGAGTCTTGACAGCTGAGAGTTAAGTATTCCAGCACAAGGAACATTTGCAGTGAAGGCTGCTGGCCCACACAGCACAGTTATTCTCTTCACAGAGAGATGTCAAAGAACGTTTGTTAACCTAGCAATGAACTGTGCTCCTGGCCTGAGCTAGAAATCTGCAGCTTTCCAGAAACCTCCATTTAACGGACACATCTTAACCCCCTTGTGCAGCCTGTGACCCACAGTTTTATCTGATCAGATAACAGTCCTACAAGGCATCACTGGAGAAACTGTGCAATCGCATTTATCCAAAGGAAAGGAAGTTCCTTGCCAACCCCTTGAGTTGAGAGCCACTCAAATCACAATGTATTGATGGCAGCTCTTAGGACACTGAAGCAGAGGCACCTTTGAGGAGTCATACTCATATGCTTAGGTGTGTCCTAGCCCTTCCCTGAGCCCCTCTTCTGCTAGCAACACTGGCTCTACAGAAATTCCTGTCTTCCATAAAGTCAGGAATAAGGGAACTCCCCAGGCTGCAGATGGCCGAGCTGGCCTGTGTCTCCTTCAGGGTTGCTGAAGCTACAGAATAAAGCCGATCGCTCACTGGTGGTTGAGGAATGAAAGGTGAGGCATGGAAAGCATCGAGCTTTAACCTGACTGAGCCCTGCCTGAGGCATCCCCCCTGTCAGGGAGTCCTGTCAGGTTAATGCAAACACATACATCCACTCGCTCAAGCAACAAGTATTTGTTTATTGAAATCTGTGTGGCAATTATTCACTTAATATGGGCAGGCCTGATGCTCAGGCTATGTTGAAATGGTGGGTAAGACTATTCAGGTCCCTGCTTATAGGATTACAGACATTGTGAGAAGGGTCACCTTTTTCTCTTTGTCCCCCTGGACCACATGCACTAATGTGGATGGAGCAAGCATGCCTCCAGTTCTGGAACTCAGCTTCTGTCCCAACAAAGACAGCAGACTAGACTCAGCCCTCACAGCCTGCAGTCAAGTGGGGTGGGTGGACATGTTCCTGGAAGCTCACCCTCTGAGTGGCTTTCTCTGAAAGTGTCCTGGGCACCTAGAAGGACCTTAACCTTCAATGGTGCAGTAATTGCAATTGGGATGAGCCCTGACTAGGGCAAAGTAGGCAGAAGATCATCAAAGTCCCCAAAGAAGCCTCCAGTCCTCTGCTCCCCCAGCCTGTGAATGCCTGGGCAGGTAGGGGAGGGCAGGCATCTATAAGGTGGGATTGTAGGGGGAGAGATGGGGGAAGAGGGAAAAGACTGGAGTTTCTTCAAGGGGTTTCATCAAGATTTCCCTCTTTGGCTCAGGCTCCTAATGAGATGAGACGTGGCCCATAGCTAAAAACAGCTGCTTAGAGCTGTAGAGATGCTTCTACAGCAGCAGGGGTAAAGATGACACTGTCAGATGGGGGGTCTCAGGCTAATAGGGATTTTGGTCTCCCACAAATCTGCTTCTGTAGCTTTTTGGACCCATGAACACTTCTGAACAGGAGCTTTTCAACATGTTTTTTTAAAATTTCCATTTTATGTGTATGAGCATTTTGTCCACACATATGTATATACAACACCTTTGGTGCCTTTGGAGGCCAGAAGAGGGTATCAGATTCCCCGGAACTATAGTTACAGACAGTTGTGAGCCTCCGTGTGGGTGCTGGGAACTGAACCAGTGTCCTCTTCAAGCCATCAATCTACCCAGCTCTCCAAGTAGGAGCTTTGGAGCCATATGGTTCAGCCTGGTCTCCATCCTCTCCCTCCTCAGACACCCTGTACAGAGAAGACAGTGAACCCAGAAGGAAGTAGGGAGCTGTCCGAGGTCACAAACCCATCTGGAGCTGAGGTCGAACTGCAGCTGCCTACTCTTGTGAAACGGAGTGGGCCTGGTCCACACGGGCAGTGCCGGAGGAGGAGGTTGCGGTGCTCTGCCTCGGGAAGTAGAGGATAATGAACCAGCAGAAGATGAAGACACCTGTGGCGAAGAGAGGGTTTCAGTGAGCCTGGAGCAGGCTACAACATAGAAGGGATGCCACTCTGAAAGTTTGAGCACTTCATGAAAGAATTAGGTAAAAATGAAACCTTTCCTGAAAGTGCCAAATAAAAAACTTAGAGACTATAAATATTGGCCTTGAAATATATTGCACACACATCTACCACAGAAAAGGAAGAGCAAAACAAAGGTATTTTCAGATATATAAAACTAATGCTACTACCACACTGGGTTCCCCTATGGTTCTGCTATAAAGGACTACTATTGTACAAACTGTGTTTAAAGGGAATTTATAATGAAAACTATACAACATCAGCGAGTTAAAAAGTACCAAGGGCTATGTTGTGCATGGAGGGAGATGAGAATACTGAATAACTTAGATTCATCAAAGGGAGACATTCAGGTTTCAATATTAATGTAGCCCATGCAAGAACAGTGATGTCAGCTGGGCAGTGGTGGTGCATGCCTTTAATCCTAGCACCCAGGAGGCAGAGGCTGATGGATCTCTGTAAATCTAAGGTCAACCTGTCTACGAAGTGAATTTCAGGTCAGCCACAGCTTTACACAGAGAAACCCTGTCTTCAAAACAAAACAAACAAAAAAGAATAATGATGTTATCTCTGATTTCAAGGTGCCTCTCTCCCCAATTCCAAACCTCTGGGATTTTCCAAATGTGAACTAATGATTATTTATCTGGAGGCAGTAATCTCAGATGGCCCTAAAGCAATTGTGTGTGTGTGTTGTTGTTTTTAAAGATTTTTTATATATATGTTTTGCCTGCATGTATGTATGTGAACCAGGTATCTGAAGAAGCCAGAAAGGGTGTCAGATTCACTGGAACTGGAATTACAGATAGTTGTGAACCTCTCATTTGGGTATTGGAAACGGAACCTGGGTTCTCTGAGAGCACCAAGTGCTCTTACCCACTGAGTCATCTCTCCAGCCCATCATCTATTTTTTTTTCTTTTTTCAGTTAACATACAAAAAAGTAGATTTTACTGTAACATTCTCTTTTCTTTAAAGATTTGTTTTCATTTTATGCACATGAGTGTTTTGCTGGCATGTAAATGCACTCGAAGGTATGCCTAGAGCCATAAGAGGGCACTGGATCCCTTGCAGCTGGAGTTACAGATGCCATGTGGGTGCTGGCAACCCAGCCTGGGTTCTCTGGAAGAGCAGCTAGTGCTCTCAGCCACTGGGCCACCTCTCCAGGTACTCACTGTGACATTTTCATACATGGTTTATTTTGGTTGATCTCTCCCTCCACCTCTCTGTCTCCCAGCTTGTACCATTCTACCCCCAGAAGTCCCTGTCCACTTCCGTGTGCCCTATGCATTCCATCACTTTCTCCCAGACTCTTCCTTTTAACCTCTTTTTCCTTTCCATGCTCCCTTTCTAGGTTAATGACCTTTGCCCACACCCCACATACATACATGTGTAGAACGTAAACCTAGGACCTTCATGTGTGAGTGTCTGTGGTGCTTGAGTTCCACTGCAGGTAATACAGTGCCTGTAAAGGTTGGCTAAAGGCACACATCTTCATCTGGGCCAACAGAAGCCCACATGTGACTAAAATCAGGGTAAAAGTTTGGTATGTCTCCCTTTCCATACCTTAACCTGGGTCAGACTGGCTTCAATTAAGCTCACAGACATGCTAAACATTTAAGGAGTGTTTGTCTAAGGCAGTGATCCTTCCTCAAGGCTGATGTGATCAGTAGATTATTAACCAGCAGCTTTTGCAGGACCCCTGTTCCTGGGGTCAGAGCTGTCCATCCACAGTCACTGCTTAACACATGAAGACCTACCACACCCCTCCTCAACTTTCTGACCTGTCCCTTTTCTAAGTCTTCCCGTCTTGTAGTCACCTTGGATTCCTGAAACAACTGCACTAACAAATGAACATCTTCTGACAAAAGCTGAGGCTACCCCAAGGTGGAAGCCACTTTCTTATTGCAGACGGTCCCTGGATAATTGTCCTAAGATAATGGTTAACTAGGACCTGGCTGTGCGTGCTGCTTGCCTGTCTTTTGTTCCCTCCCTGTACAATGCCAAAATCAGCATCACCCTGAAGTCAGGGCAGAAGGTGCTGTTTCTCCTGCTCCTCTGGAGAGCTGTTTACAATGTGCTCCCTTTCTACATCAGCTGGTTGACTGGGCAAGTGGCTATGTGTGCTCTCCAGAGGGAGCCCGGCCTCTGGCCTGGGACTCTGGTGATAAGCCAGTGTGTTGAAGACCTCCTGGGTCCCGCACATGCACTTATTCATCATGAAACATGGGGTGAGGGAGGGACAAGGCCTGTTGTGATGCTGAGATGAATGGGGATCAGAAGTACTGTCTGGTTGGATGGTGGGGCAATGGTTAACAATGACTGTCATCTTGACAGGATCTAGAATCATCTATGAGACAAGCCTCTAGGTGTGTCTGTGAGGGAGTTTCTAGATCATGTTAACCCAGGTGGGAAGACTCACCCTAAAGTAGGGGGGCGCCATTCCTAGCCTAGTACACCTAGGTCTAGTGCTATGGGTCAGTGGATAAAGGCACTAGCCAGAAAACCTGACATGAGCTCAATTCCTGGGACCCACATGATGGAGGGAGAGAATTGACTTCCACAAGCTGTCCTCTGACTTCCACACATGCATGTACACATGGACAAATAAATAAATCAACATAATTTTAATACTAAAAAGAGAGAGCTGAGAGCTAGCACCTGCCTGTCTCTCTCCATTTCCTGACACTGGTGTGATGTGACCGGCTGCACCATGCCTTCCCGTCCCAGAGAACTGCACTCTTGAAATGTGAGCCAACATAAAGCCTTTATTAAGCTGCTCATGTTGGGTATTTTGTTACAACAATTAAAAAAAGAAAAAGAAAAAAACTAGTGCATTAAAAGCTTCTTTAGGAATCTATGTCCTGTCACATGTCACATCAAATCTCATGACCCTGCCTTCCTAGTTAGGGCTGGTTAGAACTAGAGATAGTCATCTGGCTCAGAGCTCAGAGGCTTGAAGCAGCCATGTTAGGCAGCCATTTTGGAAAGCAGAGAGAGTGGAACGAGTTGCCACAGAGTGTAGATAGGAGACAACACCCAGCTGCAGAACAGAAAGTGGAGATATCTGCTTTGATTTTTTTGTAGCCCCTGTGACGCCAGCCACACTTGCTGCCCAGGATCCCATAAGAGTCTTGGATATCTAAAATCAGCACCTTTGACTTGAGCTAGTTTCTGTGGACTCCTGTGTCCCAGAAAGTACGTCCCTGACCCTCAGGTCCCTCTAGTGCTGATGAGACAGCCCGTGGCCTCCCTGGAGCCTCACCTTGCAGCGAGTTGAAGAGGGTGAAGATGTAGATGGTGGACAAGCCCAGGGGTGTGAGAACAGCCAGCCCCCAGGTCATGCCTACCAGGCTGGAGAGGCCCAGAATGGTGAAGACCGACTTCCAGGTCTGCCCCTGTCCTTTGCCTGCTGTGACACTGGGCAGAGTGAAGAACTTCCAGGCCACCAGAGCCAGCACCACAGCTCCAAAGAGGAAGCTGACAAGGAAGTAGCCGTGGACGGTAGCATAAAGGGCAGGCTCTTTCTGGAACCAGCACCTGGAAGAGGAGGGTAGCTGCTGGGGATGGTGGAAACCATGACCATTGAGCCCCAGGGAGTTTCCTTGGCTGATCCTTGGTAACCAAGAAGATGCCCTCCACCCCCACCACCTCTGGCTTTCCTGGGCCTCCTCCCTTATTTCACTTTCTGACTCCAGACTTCTGTTTACCTCCTGTGACATAAGCCAGCTGGATCTGACTATCCTTAACATTGCTATTCTCCTAAGGCCACCTCCCCTTCCTCCCTCCCTTCCTCCCATGAAGTCAAAGGCCTCCACACCCTCTGCTCCCCACAGCCCCACTCACAGCTCCAGTGAGGTGCGGTTCTCCTGGTTGCGGATGGTGTAAATACCATAACTGTTGCTACTCCCAACACCAATAACCACAAGAGCAGGCAGGCCTGGGGACAGGGGAAGAAGGTGATATCACCAGGGTTCCCTTGGGTGAGCTAGTGTCCAGTCCCTGCAGCCATTCATCCCTCAAACTTTGTTCTTCCCTAGGCTCTTCTTCCTCATCCCCCCAGCCTCCCTTTTACCCCTCCAGCCTGTGCCTACCCCAGCCCAGCAGGCTCAGCTTCAGGAAATAGTGTCCAAAGTAGGTATTGAAGACCCTGATGGCCAGCAGGTAGAGATGAAAGGCCTCCAGGCCCATCCAGGTGAAGACACACAGCAGAAAGTAGTGGAAGATGGCAGCTCGGACCCAGCAGGAGGCTGGGGAGCCTTGAGAGCTGCTCCCCACATTGATCAAGAAGGTAAGATTCAGGAGAAACAGGCTGCTGCTCAGGGCCATATGGATCTTAGGGGCATCTTCAGACTTGAACCTCTGCAGAGAGAGCCTGGGAGAGAAGGGCCAAGGAGCAGCCTCAAGGAGCCACAGCTTGCAGGCGGTGCCTAGGTTGGTTTACCTCCCTGCCTGTTCCATGCCACAGCCAGCTGCTATCATCCTCATGGCCAGCTCCTGTCTGACCATTCAGTTTCCACCTTTGCCAGTGGTTAGTGTGCAAGCATTTTTAGGTTCAAATCCACAAGCCCTTTCATGGCTCTGTGGGCTGTGTGGGCACTGGGTCCTGCCAGCCTCACCCTTTGGCACATTCCTTGGCTAAATCATGGAACTTGTGACAATGACAGAGTTTTCTTTCTTATGTCTCCCAGGCTTGACCATGCAGGCATTTCCCAGCATAGTGAAATTCTCTGCCACCCCTTGCCACAGGGGGTCCACCCATGCTGCCCTCAGGGCCCTGCTCAGTGGGCAGGAGGGCTCTGGGTATGTCAGTTGGATGAGTGGATGTGGATATGGGCAAATGGATGAGGCTTAGAATGTAGCAGTGAATGAAGCTCAGAGAGGTCCAGAACCTCCAGGGCGTGCTCCCTGCTTCTCTGTGGGGCTTCTCTCCACTCTGAATTCCTAGCAAATGAAGTCCGGAAGGGTTTCCACTCAAGAAACAGAGCCTAGGGTTTTCTAGAGTGGAAATAAGAGGCAAGGTCTACCTGAGCTACTAGGCTCCAGTATTGGAAGCTAGCATCAGTTTCTTCTAGCACTGTAAGCTCAGATTAAAGATCCAGCAGCATGGCTAGTTGGCATGGTACACTCAGCTCACTGAGGATGGGACTGGGTTAGGGACTGTGTTCTAGGCCAATACTTGGAGGGATGACGTGACTGCAGCTCACTGCAAGCTTGGTGACTGAGGCACATGAGAAGGACAGTAGCAATCCTGGACTGGAAAGATGGGAAGCCCAAAGGATGCTCCAGGTGGGTTCCATGAGCTTGGCCTCCAGGAGCTGGGGTTAGGGCAGGCTGGGAGAGTCTTATCTCACAGGCAGCAGGTATGAGAAGGGGTTCTTGGCCATAGCCTGACTGTCCCTTGTGTCTGTCCTGTGCCTGTTCCTTGCTGGAGAAGTTGTGTGTTCCTGAAGGGGACTCTTCCCCACCTTCAGCCACAAGGAACTAGGAAGGTCACCACTAGTAACTTGTCATTTAAATCCAAGAGTAGCCAAATGGCTTGGCTGGCCTATGTGTTTTGCCCTGTGACCATAGTGACCTGTGATCAAAGTCAGACCCTAAAACAACTAAATCTTCTTGAGATAAACACACACACACACACACACACACACACACACACACACACACACACACACACCACACACACACACACACACACACAAACACACACACACCACCCAGTATCTCAGGAGTTTGACCCCTAGAGTCCTGTGCCCACAGGACTGTTGCAATTATGAATACTCTGAATACTGAGCCATTGTAATTTCATTTAGACAGGGGCATGCCAATCATATCCCCATTCTGTGTGGATGGGGACACACAAACACACATGTACACACTCATGTGCACACACATATATGCATGCATGTACTCTCACACACGCACACATGAGTGCACACATTGATGATGTCTGAAACAGTAGAACTGAAAAAGTCTTGACAACCATGCTCTGCCACTGACAGCTTCCTGGCTTTGATGATTCTCTACAATAACAAGAAACATGATACTTGGGAAAGTTCCAGGAAGGAACCGCAGACTGTCTATGCTATTTTTGTAGTTTCCAGTTAATCTATAATTATTTCAAAATGTTTGTTTTTAACGACCTCAATTCTGGAGCTTCATCTTTGCTTGAATATCTAAGGAGCGGTTCTTGAGGAAAGGGTGAAATTGGCATCCTGATAAGGGAGAGAGAAAAGCTGTGAAAGGTAGGGGCGGACCCCTGGGGCCTCTGCTGGAGCCCCTAGTTCTAGCCCTGCCTGGAGGCCACATGCTGTGAGCTTTCTAGTTCCATTAAATCACTGGTGTTGGCCAATCTGAATCCAGTTTCTCCCATTTTTAGCTTCAATCCCTAGTCCCATCTTGGAAGCAAGAGGACTAGGGGCCAGAGAAGATAGCTGCATGAGGCCACAGGACAAAGCTATCCCATTCCTTTCCTAACCCTCCCTGAGGGTAGGAGGAAAAGGGGGTAGGGTTACTTACCTAAGGGTTACATAGAGAACCATGGTGAAGGCCAAGAAGATCATGGAGACTCCACAGCCTGCTTGGGAGATGCGAGTGAGAGTCTGTGCTGTGGCCATGTCCAATATCGGCCTCTGTAGATGACCCCAAGTCCAGATCACATCACCAAGAGGCCAGGCCCACACATCTCCCAAACCCCAGCCAGGAAGCCTCTCAGGGTCAGAGGCTGCACCTCTGGGGGCAGGGTGGCATGGACTGTTACCAGAAGTAAGGCGAAAAAGGTCAAGTGGTCACAGTGACAGACAGTCCTCTCATCCCCGAGCTCTGTGGAACAGCCTTGGGAATCCCAGTTTCCTGCGGGCCACACAAAGGTAAGGGCAGAGGAGCCTGGAGGGGACAAGGGAAGGGGACAAGCCTCTACCCTCACCTTCAGTCCCATGGAAGCCTGTGGCTTCCTTTTTTCTAATTCTAGAAAAGTCTTCCAGACTTACCTTTAGCCACATCCCAGAATACACAAGTAAGGATCATATTCTGAAACCAGAGAGTACAAGTCAAGAGATGAAGGAGGAGGAAGGCAGGGAAGAGACAGGGCGCTCCCAGGAGACACATGCCTTAAGAGGAAGACCTCTGTAGGCTATATGGAAAGACTGACTGCATCCCTGGGAGTTGATGCTCTCTGGACCATTGTTGTGCATGTGAGAGACACAACAAATATGGCACAAGAGGGTTTGCCTGTCTTTGTTGCACAAATACCTTCAGGATCATTGCCTGGTGGGTGTGGTAAGCATGTACACAGATGGGTCCTCCAGGTCCTCGCACATTTATGAACATGGAGGTGGGAGGGTATGGCAGGGGTGTGTTCACATGTGCAGGCCAGACAGATGTCTTTGAGCATAAGTGTGCATGGCCCTGATGGTTTCTTCTGGGTAAAGGGCACAAGGTGCCATGCATGGCTTCTCAGAGCTCGTGCACTATGTGCCCCACAGTAGCTGCCATGCCTGGGCAGAAGACTCACTGGTAGTTGACGCTGGTGAGAGAAGGTGATCTCCACTGGCTCCGACAGTCCGGTGGTGTGCTTCTGGCCAACACTCAAGCCTACCATGCGGTTGTTCAACACACTGCTGCCATTGTCCTGGAGGAGCTTGGCGCCCTGGGAGGGAATAGCAGGAGGCTAAGCTGAAGAATGGGCTGACCTTATCTGCCCTAGCTAGGGGTCTAGAGAACTCTAGGAAGTCCTCTCTCTTGCAGCCAAAGTCTGAGCCTAGGGGACCTGGGATCCAGTGACCCAGGGGCATAGGCAGCCCTCTTCCTGCTGCTCCCTATAACATGCTTCGGCTGGGCTAGGCTGGGCTATCTATATACTCTAGGCTCCATTATCACCTTGCTGAAAGTTAACCCCTGACATCTCTGAACTGGAAGAGCTTGAGGCTAAGGTCAGCCAAGAAATGGGGTAAATGCCAGTGGCTGCCTCCAGGTGGAGGGATGAGTGCATCCAGATCCAAGAGTGCATATATCTAAGTTTAAGTGGGTGGATGCATCCCTTAGGAGCACAGTCTGGCATGTATTGTCACAGGAAAGCATGTTTGCCCATGTAGACACAATCATACCTGGGCACACCTGACTACATGTTCTCAGGGATACAGATGGGCATGTGTGTTTATGCATGAGTACCCTGGTCTTCATACACAGCCAAAGGGTGCTGTAGATATCAGAATAATCTTCAGGCTCTTGGATGGCCCGGCTGCCTTAGAGACCATCTCAGGGACCCTGGCTCTCTGAGTGTTTAACTGCAACTTCCTGAGCTCCCAGCAAGCCTCTTACCTTGAAGACATTTCCTGCACCAATGTTCAGAACAGTTATGGCCAACCGGACGGCAGACCTGTTGCCAGGCAGGAGGGTTCCAAATAGGCTCTTGGGAAGTCGGACTCTGTCTGTGGGCTGGTCCTCACCCTGCATCACCTGCCTTGGGATCTGCAACCACGGACCCAGAAACCCCCATCTTACCTGGAGGATTCCAGCCCCAACTCAGGTGTCTCTACTATCCCAGTTGGGAAAGAAGCTGCAGCATGCCAGGTAAAGGGGCAGCATCTAAGGGCTTTTAGTTCTGGGGTGAGGGGCAGAACACCTGGCTCAGTCCAGGCTCTGCTCTTCACAGGTGAGGCCCTTGGACAGACATCAACAATGGGACCCCAGCTTCCCCATCACAGGGACCAACTGAGCATAACTGAGTTGGTGCAGCCGTGGTCTGCTTTTAAGTGTGGGTATCGCCAGTGGGGGGTACCCTGGAAAGGAGCAAGGGGGAAGCAGTGCGAAGACAAGGACTCCTGTTCATCTTGAGTGTGAAGTCCTTGCTGCCCAGCTGCGAAGTGTTTTAGAGACCAAGAATAGTTAGAATGTTAGAACAAACCTCCCCAGAGATCACCAGGCATGCTTCGTCTAGTCTCTGACCTCCTGGGCACCCTGGGGCTTCAGCCTGCACCCACTAGTTCCCTGCTTTAGAAGGACCCATGCGCATGGGAACAGGAAGCTAAGAGTGGGGCTGAAGCCCCAGTTTCACCTTCCTAGTCCAGATCTTGTCCAAAGGGCAAGTGGGTGATGTCCTGGGCCAGTGCATATTCTACCCAGAGGGCATGGCGTCATATAAGGTCAAGGAAGTTGGGTGAGGAGCAACTCAGCCAGATGCCTGAACCTCTGCCCCTCAACTTTATCCATACAGGGAGGCTGGGGACTTACTGAGCCCTCGCCAGACCAAAATTTCCTTGGATATTAGCTCAGGTGCTCTTTCTAGTATGTTTTTGAGACAGGGGCTATCTGTATAGCTTGTGCCAGCCTGGAGCTCTGCCTCCTGAGGGCTGGGAGAACGAGTATGCATCATCCTGCCGGGATTCTGATATTCTTGAAAGTGGGCAATGTCCTTATCATTTTTAAGTGAGAAAACTGAGAGTCAGAAAGGCAGTGTGCCATGATGGCAATGACTGGTAAGGGCAGAGGTGGAGTTTAAGTCTGGACCAGTGTAAACCCAGAGCCCCCCCATTCAATCTCTCTGAGGCCAAGTGTGCCCTTACTCTCACTCCAGATGTGCTATGGCGAAGGGGCTAATGGGCACGTTAGGCTTGGAGGTGCCAGAAATTCATCTTCCAGATGAGCCTCCAAGGCCTCTGGGAGAAAGACTCCTGGGGACATCAAGGGCAGTGAAAGGAGGGCTAGCTAGTTCAGGGATCTCCCAGCAACCTGGCTAATCCACCACCAGATTCCACTCATTCAGTTACTTCACTGGCTCTGTTAATGACTGACAGAGCTATGCTGAATATTACTCAGGAGGGATAAGCTCTGATGGGCACCAGCAGAGGCCTGAACCACCACCAGGAAGCTCGTCACCTGGGAGGGCATCAGAGAGAACAGCAGGTCTTCTGAGACATCCGTGCTGATGTTCTGGATCAAGGCCTTAACAAAAGGCATGTCCACAGTCTCCATGGAATTCTCCAGTAGGTAGGATTCATAGTTTAGCCAGTATCTGCAAGGGGCAAGGGATCAGAGGGGGAAGAGCTTGCAGGCTGAGCTGCCCACTCATCAGGCTCTTGGGGTGATGGCAAACCCAGAATACCAGAGACTCTGCTCATAATGTGAGGAAGAGGAACAACTTGGGAACTGAGCCTGAAGGAGTCTGGCTAAAGACCCCTCTGGATATCTTAATGTTTGTCTTTCAAAATGTCTATTTATTTTGTGTGTATGAGTGTTTTGCTTGTGCATATGCATGCCTGGTGTCCTTGGAATTCAGAAAAGGGTATCAGGTTTCCTGTCACTGGCATTAGGGATGGTTGTGAGCCACCATGTGAGTGCCGGGAAACAAACCTGGGTCCTTGCAGGAGCAACATGTGCTTCTAATTGCTGAGGCATCTCTCCAGCCCGTGCTTGTCTTTTATAATAGTAAAATATCAGATATAACCCATATATTAACCATTTCAGCATAGCGTATTCAGTGGATTGAGCACACTCACAGTGCTCTGAAGCCATCCCAACCATTTACTTCAGAACAGCCCCATCACCACGGAAGGGAACCATGTGCTCACTAAGCAGCTGCCTTTCCCCTTCCTGCCCCTGGAAAACACTCATCTATTTTGCTTTATGCCTCTGTCATCCTCCCCCCTCTTCTTTAGACAAGGTCTCATGGAGCTTAGGCTGGACTTGAGCTCACTATTCAGACAAGTATAACCTGAACCCCTGATCCTCCAGCTTCCTCCTCCTCTGGAATGCTGGGATTACAGGCTTGCATTAACCACACCCATTTTACAGTGTTAAGCTTTCTGCTTGCTAGAGAAGCATTTTATCAGCCTAGCCACACTCTGCCCAAACTTTGCGCGTTTTGAATCAGAACACCGAAGCACACACTGTGTGGCCCTCTGAGTCTGGCTTCTCACACTTAGCACATTGTTTTCCATGCATCATTGCTGGAGCATGAATTGTGATTTCAGTCTTTTTGGAGGAAACACACTCATCTACTGATGGGCATATAGACCTGTACTAATGGGCATACAGATGCACTCCTCCACTGGTGGGAACATATAGATCTTTGAATACCACCATTTATGGGCGTATGGATCTTTGCATCCATCCTCTGATGAACCCACTGATGGATATTTGAATATTTCCCACTGTACTGTGTAGTGAGATATCTACCCCACCCACACCTGTTTCACTGACCATGCCCACTGGGGCGTGGGGACAGGTGCAGACGTGACCTGTGGGGTCTAGGTCTGGGGCCCCAGACCCCAGCTCATTCTTTTACTTCCTGATTTGAGACAGAGCATGGGGGCATTCTTGAAGCAGGAACCTGCGACAGTCATTTGTTTCTGGTGTAAGTGATTTCTCCCTGAATAAACATCAATCAGCCTATATTGTGTCCCAGAATCTTATTTCCCATGCAATAGTTCTGGACAGTTTTGGTCAACTTGGCACTAATTAGAGTCACTTGGGAAGAGGGGTTGAGAGCTTGAGTCCATCATATTGCCCTATGGGCTTGTGTGTGGGGCATTTTCTTGATTCAAGATTAATGTGTGCCCAGTCCACTATGGGTGGCATCACCTGCGGATGGGTGACCTTGGGTTGTATAAGAAAGAAAGCTGAATGAGTCATGGGGAATGAGCCAGTAAGAAGCCTCCTTTCAAATTTTCTGCTTCAGTTCCTGCCTCTGACTCCTCTTAGTAATAATGGACCATATTGTGGATACGGAAGTCAAATAAACCATTTCTTCCCATAAGTTGCCTTGGGTTGTGGTGTTTATCACAGCAACAGAAAGCAAACTAGAATACCCTATTGTGAATAGGGCTGCTGTGAAAATTCATGTATGTGTGCTCGTGGAAGACTTGTTTTAAATTCGCTGGGCATATACACAGGAGTAGAGTTGTTAGGTTATCTGGTAATTTTCCATTTAGCTTCTTGAACAGCTACCAGATGGTTTTCCACAGCAGCTGCACCATTTCACACTCATATCTGCAGTGTATGAAAGTTCCAGTAGCTCCACAGCTTTGCCAATGTGATGGTTTTGTTTTGTATTGTTTTCAACGGTAGCCATACTTATGGGTATAAAGAGGTGTCTTGTGGTGGCTTTTATTTGTATCTTTTTAATGACCCAGTGAGGCTGAACATCTTCTCATATGATTTTTGTTCCACATATCTTATTTGAATAAATCTCTTTGGGCATATTTATTGAGTGTTAATTGTACACTAAAAATTCAGCACTTGAAAACTGAGCCAGAGACCAGCAAGATGCCTGATGACCTGAGTTTGATTCCTGAAACTCATATAAAGGTAGACAGGGAGAACTGACTCGATAGAGTTGTACTCTGATCTCCAAAAGTGTGCAGTGACATGTGTGCCCCTACCCACTTCATAAACACAATAATAAATACATTTTTGGGGTTTTTTAAAGGTCACATTATATAGCCTTGGCATACTGGAACTCACTATGTACCCCAGGCTGACCTTTAACTCATAGATACACTCGCCTCTGCCTCTCAAGTGCTGGGATTAAAGGCATGTGCCATGATACCTGGCTTAAATAAGTGTGTGTGTGTGTGTGTGTGTGTGTGTGTGTGTGTAAGAAAGAAAACTAAATAAGGTAGTGGTGGTGCACTCCTTTAATCCCTGCACTTGGAAGACAGAGGGAAGCAGACTTCTAAGTTCAAGGCCAGCTTGGTCTACAGAGCAAATTCTATGACAGCTAAGACTACACAGAGAAATCATGTCTTGAAAATAAATAAATAAATTTTTAAGAAAGAAAGAGGGCTGGGCAGATGGCTCAGTGGTTAAAAGCACTGGCTGCTCTTCCAGAGGACCTGAGTTTAATTTCCAGCACCAACATGGCAGCTCACAACTGTCTGTGACTCCAGTTCCAGGAGACTGGACATCCTCACACAGACCTACATGCAGGTAAACACCAATTCAAATAAAATAAAAATTAAAAAAAATATATATATATATAAAATTGAGAGAGAGAGAGAGGGAGGGAGAGAGAGAGAGAGGGAGGGAGAGAGAGAGAGAGAGAGAGAGAGAGAGAGAGAGAGAGAGAGAGAGAGAGAGAGACTTTAAGCCGCATGGGAACTGACTGCCTGGAAGCAGATGGTGTGAGAAAGCTCTTGTCTACAGGGAAAGGGGGCTGGTGTCACTCTCCGTGGTGCTGAAATTTAGAAATGTTCCTGTGCTTGAGTCTCTTTCCCTAGCCCAGGGCCCTAATTGCTAGCTTTCTAGCACTGGAATCACAGCTATGTATGCTCCACCTCTTGCTTTAAATAATTAAAAGTTATCTTTATTTATTTATTTTTATTGTGGGGCAACACTGCATGCCACAGTTTGCATCTGGAGGTCAGAGGATAACTTGCAGGGATTGGCTGTCTCATACTACGATGTGGGTCCTAGGAATTGAAGTCAGGTTGTCAAGCTTGTGTGTCAAGACCCTTTACCTACTAAGATGTTAAAAATGGTCCTGGCGATCAGACATGAGTCCTCATGCTTTGTGCCCCACATACTTTGCTGACTGAGCCATCTCCCCAGGACTCTATTCACTATTCACCTTTCCAAGAAACCCCGAACAGGTGTAGTGATAGGAGGCAAGAGGGTTAGAGGGAGATACACCAAGACTGAGGCTATGGAGACACATGGAAATTCTCTCTCTCTCCTCTCTCTCTATTCCCCCTCTCTCCCTTGTTTCTCCTCTCTTTCCCCCTCTCTCTTTTCTCTCCTATTCTTCTCTCCCTCTTCTCTCTCTCCTCTCTCCCTCCCTCTCTCTCTTTGTGTGTGTGATGGGAATGGAACACAGATCTCAGGCATTCTAGGCAAAGGCTCTACCACTAAACTACATCCCGGTCCTTATTACTGTTACCATAGTTACTAAGGAGAAAGGACCCTATAGAGACAACAGAAAATAGATCGCAGAATAGAAAAGCAAACCATGCAAAAATGTGCAACTATTATTGGATGGAGACAGCATAAGAAAACCATTGAACCAAAAACAGAGGGCTGAGGCTGTGGAATTTATTGAGCAGCACATATTATACTGATTTGATTTGCCTTTAATAGTCAGAGAAGTGTTGACTTTTATTGGTACCAAATAAAATAAGAAATTGTAGAAGATTGAGATTTTTGTTGCCACATAAAGTGGTAAATAGTGAATTGAATGTATGTTTATTATATATGTTTCCTACCTTTTGTACTTAAAGACCTTCCTCACCTTTGCAAAACAGCCCAATTCACTTTCCTAAGGAAGACACCCTCCCCAGCATGGTTCTCGGGTACAATGAATTCTCATTATTTTATGTTGCTTTAGGTCAACACCCCCCCCCACGTCTTCTGTGAAACAGGCCCAGGTTGGCCTCAAGCTCTCACCCACTGCTTCTACCTCCTGAGGGTGGGATTACAGGTGTTCATCACCACACTGGAGCTTCCAATCATCTTGAATGTAAGTGGAACACTCCCATTCAGAAGCTGTATCCACACTCACCCACCCTCCAGTCACTGCTTCTGATCACCTCTCCCCAAGAGGACAGATAGAAACAAGCTACTTGACTGACCAACCATCCCCCTGCCAAACCTTATACCAATCATGCCGATACAATACTGACCTTCTGGAACTTCTGACAAAGAATCTGGAAGGAGGGAGATTGGGGAGTGATGGGGACGGAGAGAGAGATAAAGAGAGAGAGAGAAATTAAATAGCCATTTTACTAAAGAAAATCTCCAAATGGCCAATGAGCACATGCAAAGATGTTGAGCTTCATTGCTCATGATGGAATGCCAGTGGGAACCTCAGGAGATGCCCCTCTGCACTTGAGCAGCCAGAACCACACAAGGGCCTTCTACACTGCTGACAGAGAGCAAATGGCACAGCCACTTTGGGAGACAGTTTGGCAGTCTTTCATGGAGCTCAGCATATATTCAGTGTATATTCCAGCCATTCCGTCCCTAGGCATAGATCCCCTACCAAATGGCAACATATGGCCTCAGGTCTTGAATTAAAAT